CGTGAGTATTATCTATGAGTTCTGTGTGGCCATTGTAACAAATTATCAAACCCAACAGAAAAGGAGAGAGTGCCATGGGAGGGACGATTGGTGTCAGAGTTGGTTAAAAGGTCGGAGGGTGGAAGCATGTGTGACCTCTGCCGCTTAGGAATCAGCCTTGGGCTGTTGATCTTGATTCTCCTTCCCCCTTGTGAAGTTACAGGAAGGAGGTCAGACACCCTCGCCATGCCACTTTTACATCTTACTTTGGTGAGTATCACCTGGGGTCTTAAAAGCTTTCAAGTGGCCATCTAAGATACAACTATTGATCTCTTTCTGTCTGGAGCAAAGAAGAGTGAAGAAAACCAAAGACTCAAGGAAACAGTCCAAAGGACTAATGGACCACAGGAACCACAGCCTCCACTAGCCTGAGACCAGAGGAACTAGATGGTGCCCAGCTACCACCACCGACCACTCTGACCAGGATCACAATAGAAGGTCCCAGTTAGAGTGAGAAAAAAATGTAGAACAAAATTCAAATTCATAAAATAAAAAAAAAAAGACTAGACTTCTAGTCTGAGAGAGACTGGAGGAACCCCCAAGACAATGGCCCTTAGACACCCTTCTAACTTGGAACTGAAACCATTCCCAGAGATCACCTTTCACAATAACACCCATGAGGAAAGTGCTCCTTAGAATAATCATCTATATAAGATCAAAGGGGCAAACTCTGCCCAAAAGCAACAATTAGAAGGCAGGAAGGGTCAGGAAAACCGAACAAGTGGAAATGGAGAACTTAAGGTAGTAATGGAGAGAGTGCTGACACTGCAGGGATCACAACCAATGTCACTGAACAATTTGTGTATCAACTACTGAATGGGAAACTAATTTGTTCTTTCAATCTTCACCTAAAGCACAATAAAAAAAAAAAGGAGAATGGCTATTGGGAAGTACCCCCAATCCATTTTCCACACTAGCCACGAGTGATTCTTGTAAAACAAAAATTTAACCATGGTACTCATCTACTTAATGCTTTCCCTGGCATACTCTTTAGCATGACTAATAAAGGTTTCTCTCATTAGGTCCCAGTTGACCTCTCTGGCCTCTTTGGCCTCATCTTCAACCCTCTTACATCAGTTTTTGATTCTCATCCTTCGTTACAGAAGGACCAACGTATTTGTAGTGCTTGGATACATCATGCTGATTCGGGACTCTGTTTTCTCTTTTCTAGTTATATCTCACATTCATCCATATGTTCACATAGTTCACAAATATTTGAATGACTTCATTTATCACACTATGTTAAGCCCTGCAGACACACAGGTAAATGAGACAGATGCAATCCTTGTTCTCTTGGAACTTAAGGTAGATATATGAAGGCCTATATGAAACCAATAGTCACAACTGTGATGAGAGTTATGAAGAAATGTACATTGTAATGAAACGTGCAAATGTTTGGAGTTAGAAAACCAAAAGGCATTGTTTAGCATTTCTCAAGCTAAAAGAACTGAGGAAAAAATTAAAGCCTCAAGTTGCAGTATTGAAGGATTCTGTTGGCAAAATATTGAACAATGCAGAAAGCATCAAAAGAAGATGGAAAGAAAAAATAGGCACTGTACCAAAGAGTTGGTTGACATTCAACTGTTTCAGGAAGTAGCGTATGATCAAGAACCAACGGTATTGAAGGAAGAAATCCAAGCTGCACTGAAGGCATTGATGAAAAACAAGGCTCCAGAAATTGATGGAATATCAACAAATGGATACAGCACTGGAGGTGCTCACTTGCTTAAGCCAAAAAATTTGGAAGACAGCTACCTGGCCAAACAACTGGAAGAGATTCGTATTTGTGCCCATTCCAAAGAAAGGTGATACAACAGAATGCGGAGATTATCCAACAATATCATTAATATTGTTACACAATATTATACACACGTAATACAAGTAAAATTTTGCTGAAAATCATTCAAAAGCAGCCGCAGCAGTACATTGACAGGGAACTGCCAGAAAATCAAGCCAGAGTCAGAAGAGGACGTGGAACAAGGGGCATCATTGCTGATGTCAGATGGATCTTGGCTGAAAGCAGAGAATACCGGAAAGATGTTTACCTGCATTTTATTGATTATGCAAAGGCATTCGACTGTGTGGATCATAACAAATTATGGATAACATTGAGAAGAACGGAAATTCCAGAACACTTAATTGTGCTCATGAGGAACCTGTACATAGACTAAGAGGCAGTCATTTGTATAGAACAAGGAGACACTGCTGGTTTAAAGCCAGGAAAGGTGTGCGTCAGGGTTGAGGTTGTATCCTTTCACCATATTTATTCAATCTGTATGCTGAGCAAATAATCCAAGAAGCTGTACTATATGAAGAAGAATGAGGCATCAGGATCGGAGGAAGATTCATTAACAACCTGAGATATGCAGATGACACAACCTTGCTTGCTGAAAGTGAAGAGGACTTGAAGCACTTACTGATGAAGATCGAAAACTTTAGTCTTCAGTGTGGATTACACCTAAACATAAAGAAAACAAAAATCCTCATAACTGGACCAATAAGTAACATCATGATAAATGGAGAAAATATTGAAGTTGTCCAGGATTTCATTTTACTTGGATCCACAATCAACATCCACGGAAACAGCAATCAAGAAATCAAACGATGTATTGCATAAGGCAAAATCTGTTGCAAAAGACCTCTTTAAAGTGTTAAAAAGCAAAGATGTTACTTTCAGGACTAAGGTGTGCTTGACCCTAGCCATAATATTTTCAATCGCCTCATATGGACGTGAAAGCTGGACCATGAATAAGGAAGACGGAAGAAGAATTGACGCCTTTGAATTATGGTATTGGCGAAGAATATTCTATACACCATGGGCTGCTGCTATAGGGTCGCTATGAGTCGGAATGGACTCGGTGGCCACGGGCCAGAAGAATGAAGAAATCTCTCTTGGAAGAAGTACAACCAGAATGCTCCTTAGAAGCGAGGACGGCGAGACTTGTTTCACGTGCTTTGGACATGTTATCAGGAGGGGCCAGTCCCTAGAGAAGGACATTATGCTTGGTAAACTAGAGGGTCAGCGAAAAAGAGGAAGATCCTCAATGAGATGGGCTGACGCAGTGGCTGCAACAATGGGTTTAAGCATAACAATAATTGTAAGGATGGCGCAGGACAAGGCAGTTTTCCGTTCTGCTGTACATCGGGTCGATATGAGTTGGAGCCGACTGGAGGGCACCTAACAACAACAAACGGGAACACATAATAATGCAAACTTATCTTGTCTATGCAATAAAGGAGAGCTTCCCTGAGGAAGTGATTTTTAAACTGAGATCCCAAGGATGAATCAGAATTAACCAGACAAAAGACAGGGGGAGGGTTATCCTTTCTTCATGACTGCTCAGATGACACCTTTTATTAAGGCGTGGGGGTAGGGTGGGGTGGGGTGGGGTGGGGTTTCCTAAAGGCATAGTTTTGTGGTAACTGGCGGTAGCTTAGACACTCAATGAACGGATAAACGAGCGCATGGATTACAACCTGCCCACGACGACCTCAGGACTGCTATTTCCCTAATTGAATCGTGTCATTCTCAGGCACAGTCAGGTTCTCTGCCAGTCACCCTGTCTCAGGAATGCGGGCAGCCAGCAATTTAGACTGGACCCCGCCCCGCCCCCAGCTCCGGCCCTCCCCCCGGCCCCGCCCACATCCAGCCCTGGCCCCTCCCCTTTCTGGCTCCCATGGGGCTCCGGGCGGAGACTCGAGCCTCCGGGGCTCGAGCATCTCGGGCACTGGTAACCGTTCTAACTGCTGGGAGGGGATGGACTGCGTTTGAATCCTGGTCTTGGGATTCGCTTCACTTCGCCCCCAGGGACGCGCTTTCTTTCTCGCCCCTGCCCCCAGGGAAGCTCGGCCACTTTTTTATCTCTAGTAAGCAATCCTACCACGCTCTCACTGAGCCTGCCTCTTCTGTTCCTTCCCCCCCGCTAACCCCCTAGCCTGCTCCTGTTCCTGTTTTTCCTCTTCCTCCCCCCCCATCCCGTCGCTGGGCGGGTTCTTCTGCTTTCCGTCCTCCCGACCCTCAGCGGATGGACGGATGGACTGTGGGACTGGGGCTTTGGGGTCTCTGAGTGACGACCTGTTCTTCTCCTTCAGGCAATCGCCAGGCTCCACTCTGAGTGTAGGTTTCTTGCTGTGACTGAGGTTCTCTGATTGAACCCTGTCGGTCTGTCAGTTTGACTCTTCATGTGATCACACGTGTGTACGCCAGGCTTTCTGTGTGTGGGTGGCTGGGCTTATGGTGAGCTTGTGCCTGGGACCCACGTCTGTGTTCATGCGCTTCTCCAGCAGGCATTCCCCAATGATACCTCATCAGCAGATCTGGCTCTCTGCCTTCCCCCTGCCTCCTGTACCAGTTCGGCCAGGTGAGGGGGCAGGATACACGGATGTGGGAAGGAACCTTGTGCATGCAGGGACCCCACCTCTTGGGCAAGCTTCTTACCAGAGCCCTGGGGGGAAGCTAGTGAGCTTATGGGTCTCAGGAAAGGCCTTCCGCTGGCCTGGCTCTACCCTGCTCTTCCACCTATTTTCATACCCTAGGTCCTTCCCTCCCTTTCCTTTCTCCCAGCCTAACCCCATTGACCTTAACCATCTCCTACCCAAAGCCTAAGGGCCCTTCTCCTCCTATCCACCCTGGGCTGGGCCAAACAGGTGAGGTCCAGCAGCCCAGAACCTGGAACTGGCAGTCGGAGCCCGAGCAGTGGGCAAGGTCATTGCGACAGCAGTTGAATGCTCAACTCCTGTTGGTCACTGAGGAGAAGAATGTGGGCCCATCTCCTGATGAGGCATCATCTGATGCCCTTGAATCTTGGAACTCTGTATTGGTCCTAGAGAAAGAAGAGCAGCCTTGGGCCTCTGAGAGGAAACAGAAACAGCTCCTGAGGGCAGTGATTGAGGCAGAGAAGCCCACAGTGCTGGAGCTCCTGCTGGCTGAGCTCCAAACTCTGTTCTCAGCGGTGCTGCAGGACGGCAGCCCTGCAGCGTGGCACTACCTGCATGCAGTGCTGGGTTTGCTGCCTCCATATCGATCACTGCTATGTCACCACCTTGATTTGCTGCCTTTTCTGGAGCAGCTGTACCGCTGGGCACCCTGGGTCCAGTCCCAGCTCCAGCTAGACCTGCTAGATGCCATAGAACAGGCCTTTCCCCCAGACACCTCTTTGTTAGCGAGTACCTCCCATACTGACTGCCATCTACAGAAGCAGAGGTTCCAACATGGGCTCCCATACCCCGCCTGCCCTTTTGTGCAGGCCCGGTGGGATGGGCAGCAGGCAGAGAAGAAGTTGGCTACATGGCTGCGACCACTGACACTGCCTGAGCTACAGCACAGCCTGGGCATTGTTGGTGCTGAGGTGGCCCTAGAAGAGACACGGTGGCTGGATAGCCTTAGCCTTCTCCCCTTGGCACTGGCAACAGACATCCCTGTACAGTATGAAAGCAGTGGCACTGACAATGCAGAGGAGGAACCTGTTGGAAGAGAGACTAGGTAAGTGAGGGACTCAGTCTGGGGCTTTGAGCAGGGGGGTAAAAAAAGCCAATTTAGGGCTACACCTATGGTCCTTTAGATGTCTAGGGCTAGCTCCCTATCGATCTTAAGGATTAGTCTGACCCCAAACCAAACTGGTCTGAGGTTGCTTCTCTTTTCTTTTTTGTCTGCAAAATAAACCCAGTGATCTTAATGCTAATCCCCATAAGGAAACGCAGAAACTAATGAAAATCAAAAGCTACCGTGAGCAAGTCAAAGCTTCAGAAAACAGCTTCTCTGCCTGAGTTTCCAGATTTCTTTCTCAGATGGTGCTGGAAGCCTTCTTTGTTCTTTTTCTCATTCATTCATCATCACTGAGTCTCGCCTTTGGGCCTACCTGTGCTAAGTGCTGGGTGCTGGATACAGGGTCTTTATCTCGGGTTGCTCCTAGAGTGATGTCTGAGGGGCCTTCCCGCACATGCGCATGTGAGCTAAGCCAAGGCAAATTCGAGTTGGTAGCACTATTGGATGGGACTTTCATCCTGACCCTTCCAGAGCTTTCTTATGTGGCCTAATGTGGGCACCAGCTGAGCCCACTGGCAGCTTGAATGACAGACTGTTTCCCTATCTGGCTCTAAGAGCTCTCTTCAGGATTTCAGAACACCCACAGAGACATCCTCTCCTGAAGGTTCTATAGCTCTAGTCTTGAATTTCTCTCCATCCTCTGGTCTGATTTTCTAGGTGCTTTGCAGCTTGTCTGTGACACATTCGTTATCTGGGGAAAAAGGCTAGTTTTACCTTTAATCAAGCTTGGCTTCCTCAGTTTTTGCTATAAGTTTATGGCTGGGTCAAGGTTTTATTTAAGCCTTAGAGCCCTATGGTAGACAAATAGGCAGACTCTTGGGGCTCTGATAGAGGGTGGCCAAACCCATTAAAAATGAATAAATAAAAACCCATTGCCTTCGAATCGATTCTGACTCACAGCAATCCTAAAGGACAGAGTAGAACTACCCCCACAGGGTTTACAAGGCTGTAATGTTTATGGGAGCAGACTGCCACATCTTACTCCTGCGGAGCAGCTGGTGGGTTCAAACCACCAACCTTTCAGTTAGCAGCCAAGTGCTTAACCACTGAACAACCAGGGCTCTGGAGGGTGGCCAGTGCCAACAATTTATGCCTTCAATAGCCCCAGCAGACTCTTCCTCTCTCAAAGAGCTGTCCTGTGCCCTGAGTACAAGTTTCCTTTCTTGGGGAAACTTAAAACCGAAGAGAAAATATTCATAGAAGTTGAGGTCAAGTTCTCTGTGCTTTCTCCAGAGCTGGTAGTAGACCTCTGAGGACTAGCTAATGTGGTTTAATTTGTTTGACAATAAAAGGCTTGGCAGAAGTTCTCCACATCTGGCCTCCCAGGCATTCAGTCATTATCACTGGATGCCTAAAATATATCACAGAGCCCTCGTGGAGCAATGGTTAAGAGCTATGACTGTAAACCAAAAGGTTGGCAGTTTGAATCCACTAGCTGCTCCTTCGAAACCGTATGGGGCAGCTCTACTCTGTCGTACATGGTCGCTATGGGTCGGAATCAACTCGACGGCAACAGGTTTGGTTTTTTAATATGTATTACCGAGCACTAGTGGGTTGAAATCAACTCAACAGCAACAAGTTTTTAATATGTACCAGGCTAGATGCTGGGAATACAGGCGTGAGCAAGAGAGACTCAATACTTTCTCTCAGAGTCTTACAGTTTAGTTAGGGAAATAGATAATAAATAAGTTGATACAAGTAAAATATAATTGCAAATTGTGATAAATGCTATAAAAGAACACCGCTCCTCTGGGGTGTGTGTGTGTGTGTGTGTGTGTGTGTGGGTGTGGGTGTGGGTGTGCATGTGTGCAGTTAGGGGAAGGCACACCAAAGTTAACAGGATGTCATGAGACGAAATAAGAGGAGCGTTTCAAGAAGGAAGGGAGCAGTCCATAGCATTAAATGCTACTGAGACAAGAAAAATCTGAAAAATGTTCAGTGGATTTAGCAACGAGGAGTAGGCTGGTAGGAGCAGTTTCAGTGGAGTTTTGTGGGGAGGAAGCCCGATGTGGTACATTCAGGAGTTAATGGGAGGTAAAGAAGTGGAAATCTTGTTTTACTGTTCTTTCATGAAGCTTGGCTGTGAGAGTGAGAGATAGTAGCAGCTTGAAAGAATTGTGGTGTCTGAGTAGATCTTTTTTTTTTTTTTTTTTAAGATGGAGAAATGTTTATAGCTCTTTAAACAGTGCTTGAGATAGTAGGTTCTCAATAAATATTTGCAGACCAAATGAATAAATAGGCTGATGGTAAGGAGAGGGAGAGATAAAAAATACATCATAAAGAGGGGATAAGGAATCCAGAGCACAGATGGTGGAATTAGCCTCCTAGAGAAGAAAGGACACCCCTTCCTCTCAGACTGGGGGAAGAGGTTAGGATGAGAGCATGTGCAGGTAATGGTGTGGAAAGGAGGCTGAAGTTGAGGGAATTAGTTCATGGCTGAGAGCCTCATTTTTCTCTGGACAGGGATGGGATGGGACTAGGGGCTTGGCAGATTAGGGTGGAGGAAATGGAGGCCTGGAATAGCTGCCAAGGGACCTAAAAGAGATATCTGCCTGAGAGCTTGTCCTAAGACATCAGATCAGAGCAAACCCACAGCTGAGATTGGACAACAGGAACTATAAAGGAGCCAATCTCCCTGGCTCTTGATCTTCTCAATCTACACAGATCATTGAGGAAACAAACCTTTAATAGCAGTTACATCATTAGGATGCCCTGATCCATCATAATCATAAAGCCTATTGTCAATATGAGCTCTAAAATAAGATTGCATTGTTATCCCTGGGGTAAGTTGTTCTGTGGTCTAAGTTGGGTCAGTGACTAACATAGTATACTTTAACTGGCTTGTTGTTGTTGTTAGGTGCCATCGAGTCAGTTCCGACTCATAGCAACCCCATGTACAACAGAATGGAACACTGCCAGTCTTGTGCCATCCTCACAATCATTGTTTTGCTTGAGCGCGTTGTTGCAGCCACTGTGTCAATCCATCTCATTGCGGGTCTTCCTCTTTTTCACTGACACTCTACCCAGCATGATGTCCTTCTCCAGGAGCTGATCCCCCCTGATAACATGTCCAAAGTATGTGAGACATAGTTTCGCCATCCTTGCTTCTAAGGAGCATTCTGGTTATACTTCTTACAAGACAGATTTGTTTGTTCTTTTGGCAGTCTGTGATATATTCAATATTCTTTACCAACACCACAATTCAAAGGGCTTCAATTCTTCTTCGGTCTTCCTTATTCTAGCTTTCATATGCATATGAGGTGATTGAAAACACCATGGCTTGGGTCAGGCACACCTTAGTCTTCAACATGACATCTTTGCCTTTGAACACTTTAAAGATGCCTTTTACAGCAGATTTGCCCAATGCAATGCATCTTTTGACTTTTTGACTGCTGCTTCCATGGGTGTTGATTGTGGATCCAAGTAAAATGAAATCCTTGACAACTTCAATCTTTCCTGGCTAAGCAAAATTTAATAATTCGGAGGGTTTTCTGTGCTTTGAAGGGACCTCAACCAATATTATTAGTCTGGGTAATGTACTTTTGTTTCTTGGGCAACTAATTTTCTTATTGAACTAATATGCTTAAGTTCCACAGGGTTTTCTCATCTTATATGCTTATTCCTACCTTCAACAACATGCATATAGGACAGAAGAAGACAGATGGTTGGATTGGTTTGGGGTTGGGATTTTGTTGCTTGATGTGGTAGAAAGTTAAGAAGATGAGAGTGTCGGTGTAGGTTTGAGGGGATTGAGGTGATATACCATGCAATCCTGGCTGGAAAGGAAAGGATGTAAAGCTAGAGGTTAGGTGATCATGGGGGAAGAGCAAGGAAGAGTCATAGGCGAGGTGATCAGGAAGGGTGTGAGAGCAAGTATAATGGAAGCAAAGATATGAGATCTAGAGAGTTGGAAGGTTGACAGAGAGGAGAAATCCAAAACTGTGTGTTTACAGGGTGGGTGAGTTGAGAAAATAAAGTCCTCCCATGACTTGTATGCAGTATTAGGTAACACTAACTTCTACTGATAATCAAAATTAATCAAGAATGATTGATCATTTATCAGAAAGGGAGGGGTCATTTATGCACATGTCTGTGTGAATATAGGTGGTGCCTGTTGTGTATAATGGACCATATTTGGTCAGTATGTGAACATCTGTGGGTATAGATGGTAGATAGGCTCTGTAAATGTTATGTCAGGTCCCCTCATGCACCTAATCTAACTCCTCCTTTCACTGGCCAAGAGTGGCAAGGCCCACCTCCTCAGTACCTTTTTGCTCTGCCTCTTCTTTCCTTCTGATTTTTTATCATACAGGTCTCAGGTTGACCGGGAAGTTTCTGGGGAGAATATCTTCCAAAAGAGAAGTACTGACTTCTTACCTGAGACTTCCCTCCTGGGTAGCCGAGTGATGAACATTCTACAGACGGAGAAGTACCTGAAGAAGATCCACTTCCTTTATCTCAATGTGGCTCCCAGCCGGTATTTTAGGTACCAACATATCTCCAGACCCCTTCTCGTACTCCTCTTACTCTCTGATTTCTTCCCAAGCTACCTTCTCCCTCTTTTTTCTCTCCATACCTGCTCCTCTACCCTTTCCTTTCTCCCCAGACTCCTTCTCTCCTGTCTTCCAGTTTCCTTCCTTCTTTTCTTCTTCTCAGCCTCCTTCTCTCCACCCTTTTTGCTCCCCTTTTTCGCTCTCAGCTTCTTGTCTTAGTCATCCTTCTCTCGCTTTTTGCTCTGCCCTCTTTATTCTGTCCTAGAATGATAGAAATATTTGGTCATAGCCTCAGAGGGCACTTAATGATGACCTCTTCCAACTCCAATGCAAGAATCTGGTCTTTGTTTAAATCTTTACAGTGTCAGGGAAACTTTGTGTTTCCCAAGACATCCGATTTCTGAGACTGAGCCAAAATCTGCTTTCTTTTAACTTCTACTTCCGGGTCCTAGTTTTATCTTCTGGGGCTATAAAACCAAATTGCCTTCTTCTTCACATAACTCTAGAGGCATTTATTCACTTTCTCCCATGGATTCCAAATCTTACCTATTTTAAAAGCCGCATTCAATCCCATCTCTGCCCAGAAATAATAATAACTACTATCGATCAAGCATATACCAGACATTGTGCTAATAATAAACACATGTTATCTCATTTAATCCTCACCTACAGGTAAGTGCTATTATTATTCCTTCATGTGAGATGAGTATCCTGCTGCATAAAAAGGTCCAAAGCAACTTGTCCAAATCCACATAGTAAGTGGTGGGACCAGGACTTTCACCTAATACAGTACTGTCTAAAGCAAAAGTCCAAGCTCTTAAGCAGTATCTGATATACCCTCCCAGAGAACCTTATTTCCTGCATACACTGATCTCTCTCTCCTGAACTTAGCTAGTACTAGTGATCTGTATCATTCATTCATTTACTAATTCATTTAACAGCTGACCAGTATGGAAGCAATGGTCGTAATGTGGGGTGGGATGGCTACTGACCGCATTGGAGAGCTTACAGAGAGAAAATGTTATAATCAGAGAAGCAGCACAACCAAAGATAATTAGCCACGTAAAGAGAAAAGAAACCATGAGTAAGAGAACTAAAAAGGCGGTGAGTAATTACAAGGTCAAGATCTGCCAAAGAAGGAAACCCAGTGAAGTGAGTTTAGCTGCTTTTCGCCAACCAAAGGCACCTGTTGATTCCATTAGAGGCAGCTGTGTGTCAGGTTTACTATACTGACTTATAGCGTATTTGAGTTACGAGAATCTACACTTACAACCGTCTGGTTTTTTTTTTTTTTAATTACATCTTATCATTAGTAATATGTACTACATACAGTGTTGCAGTGTGTAGTTTGTTGATGTTACCATTCTCAGATGTTCACTTGCAGATGTCCAAAGATTGGATTTATAAAGATACTGATAATAAAAGGCAAAAAAAAAAAAAAAGAAGTATTTGACTTATGTCAGAACCTGCTTATCACACAGTCGTCCGAACAGAACTGCATCGTAAGTCAGGGAGTACCTGTACATGCATAAAAGGTTAAGAAGGGGAGCAGAGCTATCAACAGACTCACAGAACTGAGGGAGCAAAAGTTACGGTTCTGGGCCCACATCAAGGAGGGAGGTATATTTCCAGTTCAACTTTACTCCTAAATTGTAACCATTCGGGGTCCCAACCAAAGCCTGGGGGATTTAATTCGTGTATTCTCTGATGTCTTCAAACAGGTGCTCTTCATAGTTTATAGAGTAGTTTTGCCCAGTTTTTCTAGTTGTCCTCAAATGGGAATTGGTCCAAATTTCTAGAGCACCAGCACCAGAAGTAGAACGCTGTCGTTTGTTGTTTGGTTTTGTTTATGTGTTTATTTACTTTGCCATGTAACAGGGTTTGTTTTTTTAATGTGTTTGAATTGATCAATTTTTTCGTGTATTGTTCTAGATTTTGATTCATACTTAGGAAGGAATTCATTCCCTCACCACCGTAGAGTCTTTGCTTAATTGCCACCTGTCCACACTTAACCACCCCATTTGAAATTGAAACGTCCTCCTCCCGCAGCACTGCCAATCTCCCTTTTCCTGCTCTTTCCCCCCATCATTATATTTATCATCTTTCTCCTCCAGTAGAATGAGAGCTCTATCAGGGCAGAGGTTTTTGTTTGTTTTGTTTAGTGATGTGTCCTCAGGGCTTAGAACAGTCTGGCATAGAGTGGAAACTCAGTAATATTTGTTGAATGAATGAATGAATTACCAGGAGGAAGAATAGATTTGAAGTGGGTAGATAATGAGGTCCGTATAGAACTTGCTGTGTTTTGGGTGCATGCAAGGCATACAGTTTGAGATGTTTTGGAGGCATTTGAAAATACAGGTCTAGGAGTCAGGAAGAAGACCTTGGCTTGCCCCGTTTGCTCTCTAGCGTTGCTTAATACTCTAACTGACTCTGAGCCTTTTGAGAATAAGGACTATGTAGTACTCATCTTTATGTCCTCACCCCTAATCACAGTACTTGGACAGAGGAGGAACTTGATAAATGGTTTAACTAAGCTTCATGAAGTCAAGGATTAGGTTTTTCTTGTTCACTGTTGTATCCTCAGTGCCTGACACAGTGCTTGGCCTTAATAAACATTTGTGGAATGAATGAATAGCCCCCAATGGAGCAGTGGCCATTAGGAGTGAGGAGAGCGCTCCCTAACTGCTAGCTCTGTGCAGAAAGAGCAGCCTCCATTAGGAATGTCCTAGGGAAAGGACTATACACTGGGGAGAACCAGGGCTCAGTTGAGATAGGCTGCTATCCTGTAGGAAGCTAAGTGGTCCAGTGGTTAAGGGAGGCATCTTGAGTCAGGTAGATTTGGTTTTAAATCCTGTATTCTTCCTTCAACTGCATTATCACTTCTCTTTGTTTCAGTTTTCTCAGTTTGGGGATAATGGTACTTGAGAAGAGTCTCTGGATGGTGCAAACAGTGATGCACTTGGCTGCCAACTGAAAGGTTGGTGGTTCGAGTCCACCCAGAGGCACCGCAGAAGAAATTAGCCATTGAAAACCCTGTGGAGCACAGTTCTACTCTGACACACATGGGGTCACCATGAGTCAGAATTGACTCCATGATACCTGGTTTTGGTACTTGAGAAGATCCAGTAACTGTATCAGAAAAGAAACAAGTCTACTCTGATATCTCTCTAAAAAAAAAAACCAAACCCACTGCTGTTAAGTCAATTTCGACTCATAGCGACCCTATAGGACAGAGTAGAACTGCCCCATAGGGTCTATGGAACAGCTGGTAGATTCAAACTGCTGACCTTTTGGTTAGCAGCCGAACACTTAACCAGCGTGCCACCAGGGCTCTGTATCTATATCAGTGCTGTTGGTTTGTCTGCTTAATAATGTATTCTAGAAAGTTGAGATAAGAGAGGGTAGGACGATTTTATCTCTTAGGCATTATGGGACATACAGCTTTTAAAGGTTTATAAATGTGTTTAATGCCTAAAAATATCATTGGCTCCAACTTATGAAAAGGAGACTGCAAAATAAAAATTAATAGATGTTTTATTAAATGTGCTCAAACATAGCATTATGCTAACTAGTCTACTACAACTAGATACAACTATTGTATAGCGATCCATAAATTATATTTAACGTGAGATGTAGGTGCATTTTGCGAAAGAGCCCAGGGTCTATTAGGATTTTCATATGTCTCTGGAGATACTTGTCTGGCTCATCAGTTTGTAGTTTTCCTCTTTGTTTGCCTGTTTCTTGTCTTCTAACCTCTCCCTTGATTTTCCCCATCTCAATTACTCCAGGCAGCAATTCCCTGATTATATCTGCATGTTCTTTCGGTACGTAGGGATATACATTTTTTATTATTTCTAAGATGAACTTTTTTTTTTCATATTTCAGTATCTTTGAAATTGTGATGCATCTTAAAAATTGACGGAGTATTATATTGAAAGTATTTTTTTCTTAGTGTTTCATATAATAATGATGCATCTTATAATTGATAGCATCTTAGGTTTGATGGGATATATATAATACATGTGGGTCTGGAGATATGAGCTTCTTGGAATAGGCTAAGTGCTTATTTTTGTTTTCTTTTCTATCTTTGCCTTCAATTTCTTCTTAATATTTGTTCCATCTTTGTAGTTTGAAGACCATTCCACTTCTTTTCCCCACTTTCTACTTTCTTCTGCCTTCCTTCCTGCCTCCTTTTTCATCTCCCCGTCCTTCTCTTGTCCCTTCCTGCAGTCTGCACGGGTTCCCAGGGCTCCCACTGATCAGAGCTCTTTTTCATAGGCCTTACAACCTGATGGTTGTGCCACCAAACAAGGTGAATCCTGAGCACTACATCTTCTCTCCCTTTGGGATCCTGCATATACATCCTGTGGAGGGCAGTGACACAATGACATTGGGTACCTGGCACCGCCACTCTGTTCTCTGGCAACAGCTTCAGTTCATTCCATTCTTTAAGAATTGGCTCGTACGCAAGGCATTGACCTGGTAGGTGATGATGGGTATGGAATTTGCGGGGATGTGGATGAGAGCAATAGCAGGTTGTCACTGACCTCTACTCTGTAGTTGGAAGAAGAGTGTGAAGTTGCAGGGGCTGCATCATCGCCAAATTCTCCTAGGAAATCATCTGCTCTTGGCCGTGCCCCACTTTGGAGCTGGGCTGCTCCATATTAGCAGGTGAGTTCTTTAAAATACAACTTCAATGGATTTTTAAAAGATTATTGTTATGGACGGTATAATGTTCATCGTAGAAAATTTGGAAAACACACACAAAGAAAAAAACCAACCCTTTAATCACACTACCCATGAATAACCACTGTGAACATATTTTGTCGTGCATCATTCTAGTCTTTTTTCTATCCCATATACAAAATGGGATCATACCTTATATATTTTTTAATAACCAGTCTTTTTCTCTGAATAATATATGCTCAACATTTCTCCATGCTATTACATATTCTTCTATATCAGCTTATTCCAGATCACACAATTAAAACCCAAAAAGCCAAACTCACTGCCATCAAGTTGATTCTGACTCATAGCAACAATTATTAAGTATCAAATTTGGGGGTCTAACTCAGGTGTTTGACTCCAAACTCTCTGCTGTTTCCACTGTATTGCTTGGGTCCTTTTTGGGGAAAAGACTAATTATTCCTATTTTCAGTACTTCTTTGCTTTCCCTACACCACTTCTCAGACATTTCCAATTGTCTTCTCTGATAATTCAAACTCAAATGTCTACCAGGCCCAGCAGGAGGTATTGAAGAATGCAGTGGGATAAGTGCAAGACTTTAGGGAGGTGGGACTGTAATTAGGAGATTTCATCTAAAAAGGATAGTAACTACTCAGTTCCAAATGATTGTTGCCATCTGGGAATATAGTAGGCCTAGTGTGGTCAGTACCCTTATTTTTCAGGATTTCCTAGGAATCCACATTTTGTTGGGAAATTTCTTAATTTTAACTGGTTAGCTCAAATTTTTATTAATATGCTGTGCTGGCCAACTCTTTGTGGTACATATGAAAAACTTTTTGGTCTGAATTTGGCCTGTGGGCTACCAGTTTACAACCTCTGCTCTATGAATTTACATCCTCTAATCTAACCTAATCATCATGCCGTAATTAAAAGCATAAGGGCTTGGAGGCTGGACAGAAATGGATTTACATCCTGAATACTAGCAAGGGACTCTACTCTTTGTGCCTCAGTTTTCTGGTCTGTAAACTAGAGATAAAGATTTCTACACAGCTGCAGTGAGAATTAAATGAGATGGTGAATATAAAGCAGCATGTTCAGTGCCTCTTAGTAGACACTGAATAAATGGCACCTTTATGAGCATCTTCTCTGCTTTTGGGGGGTTTTTCTTCTTTTTAAAGGATGTTTAGAGATGTGGAGTTCTCCATGGGAAAGTAGATAGAGAAGGGCTTCCTTAGGGTGATGATCAGCCCATAGGGAAGTTACATCTTTGATCCTAAAACTCATCTGTCCATCTAGATTTTTAGGGCCTTCAGCTTCCTCTGTTCTAAGGAAGAAGCCTTTGGAATCTCTCCTTCCAAGTCAGAACTTTGAGACCTATATCATCTTCTCTCCTGGCAGAAGGGTCATTCAGTATAATCATTTGCACATTCCCCAAGCCTTTCCCAAAGAATTCCCCAGCCAGCAATTTCTTGAGCTTGAACTCTTCCAAAGAAGTCACAAGAGGAATCTGTCACTGAGAGTCACTGGGAATATTATACTCTTTATAAGGTATCCAAGGAAGGCGGACTGGATTGCTGGTTTTGACTAACTTAGCCCTTGATTCCAGGCTTCTGCAGGAACTGCGCTCTGTGTCCTGGCTTCCCCAGGAGTTGGATCAGAGCTACGAGCTGCTGGAGCTGCAACAGGCTCTAGCCAAGGAGAACCACAAGGCTCTACGTCTGCTCCGCCGCTGCCTACACCTCTGCACAGCCATCCTTCAGTTGGTAAGAGGCTCCAGTTCATTATGAACGTTCTCTCCAAGCTGAGCTCCCCAGAATTCCAGCCTCCTCGTAGCCTAAGCTCCTCTTGGGAACCCCGCATGTGGCCTGGATGCTGCAGGTGGCTCAGAGCCATTGCCCTGCCCAGCAGCAGCAGTCTCTGCTCTAGGGTGGATGGGTCAGTAACAAGTGGGCAGAGGCTTGGACTCAACCTTTCCCTAAGGCAAGGAGGAGAAGAAGCACAAAACAACGTCTATTTTGTCAGTTGTTTGTGCCAGGGCATTAAGGGATTTGGGAGAAGAAATCCTGGTCTTTCAGGCTGCTGGGTTTATCCTTGAACCTATCTTGAACCTTTGGCAGGCGTAAAATACAGAGTGTGTTTTCTAACATGTAGTCACTAAAAGTCCCACAGTTTGTGTCTTGGGTTTTGAATGGGCCACAGTAGCTGGGACAAGCATGTAATGCTGGAGTCCTTCCTAATTTATGCCTACTTTGCATCTGTGGTGCATGCTGCCTGCCTAGGGGTCTGAGAGGCCCTGCTGTGTACTTGACTCTTGCCCTTGGCCTATCGTCATGATTTGTTGTTAGGTGGGGCTGGGTACTCACATAGTTCACTGGCTAATCACCAACTCCAGATAGTCCAGTTCTCAGACAGGGGACCCACCCAGATTTTGTGAAAATGAGAACTGACCTGAAGGGGGCTCACCTTACCTGGTTTGAACCAGGTTTTGCATTCTGCAAGTTGCTATCAACGTCATTAGAGTTGGTTAACACTAAGAACAGAACCTTGAAGTCTCAAAAATAGCCTTGACTGTAAGAAATTTCCATTTCCAGGAGGAATTAGTTACTTCTTTTATGGACAGCTCTTGGCTGAAATCTTATCAATCTTATTATATACAATAGTTTATGTTTGGATAGTTAGAATTGGGTGTTATGGATATGTTTGCAATTTTCCATAATAAATATTTTTAAATACCCATAATTTCAAAATTTTCAAACATTTTAAATGGTCAAATCCTCTCCCCTCCCAGAATTCCCTATCGTCCTTACCCTACTCTGTGTTTTCCTTTTTCTGTATTACCTATTGTCTTAGTTATCTTGGTGCTTAGTGCTGCTATAACAGAAATACCACAAGTGGGTGGCTTTAACAAACACATTTACTTTCTCACAGTTTAGGCTAGAAGTCCGAATTCAGAGCACTGGTTCTAGGGGAAGTCTTTCTCTCAGCTCTTGAGGAAGGTCCTTATCTCTTCAGCTTTTGCTTCCTGATTCCTTGGAGATCTCCATGTGTCTTGGTATCTATCTTACCCCGTCTGTCCTCTGCTCACTTGTTTAATCTCTTTTATATCTCAAAAGAGATTGACTCAAGATACACCCTACACTAATCCTGACTCATTAACATAACAAAGACAACCCATTCCCAAATGGGATTTTAACCAAAGACATAGAGGTTAGGATTTACAACAAATATTTTTGGGGGACATAATTCAATCTATAACATTCCACCCTTTGACCCTCGAAAATTCATGTCCTTGCAGCTTGCAAAACACGTTCACCCCCTCACATCATCCTAAAAGTCTTAAATCTACTCCAAGTCCAAAACCTCATCTTTTGAATCATCTAAACCAAATATGGGTGAGACTTTAGGTGTATTCCATCCTGGGGCAAAATTCATCTTCATCTGTGAACCTGTGAAATCTAGAATACAAGTTATCTGTTTCCAAAGTACAATGGTAGAACAGGTACAAGGTAGACATTTCCATTACAAATGGGTGAAATGGAAGGAAAGGCACCAAAAAAAACCCAAAACCAAACCCATTGCCATCAAGTCGATTCTGACTTACAGCAACCCTGTAGGACAGGGAAGAACTGCCCCATAGGGTTTCCAAGGAGTGGCTGGTGAATTCAAACGGCAGACCTTTTGGTTTGCAGCCGAGCTCTTAACTACCGCACCACCAGGGCTCCCCAAAAGGCATCAAGCAAGTCCAAAACCCAGCAAAGCAATTTACATTAGCTCTTAAGGCTTGAAAATAATCCTCTGTTCTTTGGGACCGTCTGGGCAATGGCCCCACCCTCTAGACTCTGGGTGTTGGCCATGCCCTCTGGATTCTGGGTGGAGGTCCCCTGGCCCTGGGCTTCAGCTTCGCCTTCTGCCCACTGGGATAGCAACGCTGATCCTTCAGCTTTGGGCGGTCCCATTCTCCTAGTCCATCTGAACGGTGACCCCACAGGCCTTGTTCTTCTGCCCCTTGGGCATGGCAGCCCCGCCCCCTTAGCTTTGGGCAGTAGCCCCCATTCCCCTGGCACACCTTAATGGCAGCCCCACACTTTGGAACCGAGTTGGTGACAATCCAACTTTTTGAAACCTAGGAGGTTGTTGCCCTATCCTTTGAGATCCAGAACACCATAGCCCCACCCTTTGAAACCAAGGAGGCCCTCCTTCCCATGCTCCTTCCAACAGTTCTGCTGATCTCCGAGCTGCTCCAGAGATGGTCCTTTTCTTTTCTTGGAGGATAACAGATGTAGCTACTTTGGCCTATTTCCTACTTGTAGAATTCCAAGAGGCAGACAGTATTGTTTCCTTTCATTCTTTCTCTGGCTCCATCAATCTAAGCTGATGGCTTTTTTTTGTTTCTTTTTTTTTTTTGCTGTGGTAGTTGGTTAGATCCATCAGTCACAGACTTAATCTCTTTAACAAAAGATTGTGTAGCCATGTCCTTGGTGAATATTCTGGGACACATGTCCTTAGTTTGTACAACAGAATTTCCAAATCTTTAAGTTCTGTTTTCATTTTGCACAGTTCATTTTTAAGTCCATCTCTTTCCTCTCACATTTTATTGTAAGAGGCAAGGAGAAACCACGAAGCCCTTCAAGATCTTGCTTAGAAATCTCCTCAGCCAGATATCCAAGTTTATCACTTACAATTTCTACCTTCCACCAAACATTTGAACATAATTCAGACAAGTTACTTGCCCCTGCGTAAAAAGCATCACTCTTCTTCCATTGTCCAATCACATGTTCGTCATTTTCTTTTAAAGCCTCACCAGAAGCACATATAATGTCCACATTTCTAGCAACAGTCTGTTGCTGATGTCATACGTATTCTCTAAGATGATAGAGACTTTCTCTATGGCTCTCCTCACTTCCTTCTTAGCCCTCACTAGAATTGCCTTTGACGTCTGTAATTCTTCAAGGCAATCTAGGCTTTTACTATTAGTCATCTTAAAACTCTTCCAGCCTCTACCCATTACCCAATTCCAAAACCGCTTCTACATTTTAGGTATCTGTTAGAGCAGCACCCCACTCTTCCGGTACCAAATTCTGTCTGTCTTAGTTATCTAGTGCTGCTATAACAGAAATACCACAAGTGGATGGCTTGAACAAACAAATTTATTTTCTCACAGTTTAGGAGGCTAGAAGTCTGAATTCAGAGTGCTGGCTCTAGGGGGAAGTCTTTCTCTCTGTCAGCTCTGGAGTAAGGTATTTGTCTCTTCAGCTTCTGCCTCCTGGTTTCTTGGAGATCTCCATATGTCTTGGTTTCTATCTTACCCCCTTTCTCCTCTGCTCACTTGTTTAATCTCCTTTATATCTCAAAGGAGACTGACTCAAGATACACCCTACACTAATCCTGACTCATTAACATAACAAAGACAACCCATTCCCAAATGCGATTATAACCATAGGCATAGAGGTTAGGATTTAGAACACATATTTTTGGCGGACATAATTTAATTCATAACACCTATCATCTTCTAGCATACCATTTAATTTACTTACGTTTACTGGCTAACTCCTCATGATAGAATGTAAGATTCACAAGGGCAGAGATCTTTGCCTGTTTTGTTCACTGATGTGTTCCAAGAACCTAGAGGAGTCTTTGCATAAGGAAGGTGCTCAATAACAGCTTCACAGAGCTTAAGAATTTGGAGTTAAAAGAGCCTCTGCATGTTATATGGGTCTGTACTGATTGGACCCTTCTGGAATATTCTTCTTTGGATGTTTTAAAAGAGTAACTGAAGAGGAAATTCATATTCTTTCTTAAGGATGTAGGGGAAGGGGTGAGTGGCATCGGCAGTGTCAGGATCCTAGAGCCATGGTGCAGGAATAAAAAAGAGGCAATGGCCTTTAGTTTCCAGACAACAAAAGCTGGACATCCCATTGTACCCAGCTAAATTGGAGCATAAGATGGGGCAAGTCATTCCACAGCCTTTCTCTACCTTCCAGTTCCTAAATACTACCTTTGATTTAATGTTACAAAAATAGTTGTAAGTTTTTTACAGTCTGTAGTTATTTCTATTATTTTTAAAAAAATTTATATTAAGGTATAATTTACATACAGAAAAGTAAATGAACTTTAAGTGTACAGCTTGTTGAATTTTTTGCACGTGTATATACCCATGTAACCACATCCACATCAAGATATAGAACATTTCTAGTACCTCAGCAAGTTCCCTGGTACTTCTCTATTTGATAATGTTCCCCTCTCCCCCACAAAAGTAATCACTACTCTGCTGTCTGTCACCATAGATTAATTTTGTCTGATTTTGAATTTCATGTAAGTGGAAGGAGACAAAATGTGCTGTTTTTTTCTTGGCTTTGGAACTCAACATGTTTGCGAGATTTATCTATGATGTTCTAGATAATAGTGGTTAACTTTTTAGTATCTCTGTATAGTATTTGCCTGTATAATTGTACCAAAATTTGTTTATTTATTCTCCTATTGAGGACATTTGGGTTGTATCATGGATTGAACTGTGTCGCCCAAAAATATGTGTCTACTTGGCTAGTCCATGATTCCCAGTATTGTGTGATTGTCCACCATTTTGTCATCTGATGTGATTTTCCTATATGTTGTAAATCCTACCTCTATGATGTTAATGAGGTGGAATTAGTGGCAATTATATTAATGATGCAGGAATCAATCTACAAGATTAGATTATGTTTTAAGTCAATCTCTATTGAGATATAAAAGAGAGAAGCAAACAGAGAGATAGGGAGACCTCATACCACCAAGAAAGCAGCACCAGGAGCAGAGTGCATCCTTTGGACCCGAGGTTCCTGCGCAGAGAAGCTCCTAGATCAGGGGAAGATTGATGACAAGGACCTTCCTCCAGAGCTTACAGAGAAAGCCTTCCCTGGAGTTGACGCCCTGAATTCAGACTTCTAGCCTACTAGACTGTGAGAGAATAAACTTCTGTTTGTTGAAGCCATCCACTTGTATTTCTGTTATAGCAGCACTAGATAACTAAGACAGGTTTGTTCCAGCTTTTTTTTTTTTTTTTACTATTATGAATAACACTGCTATAAATATTTTTGTACATATCTTTGGTGAACATAAGCACTCATTTCTTTTGGGCATGTATTCCTGGAATATGGTAGATATATGTATTTTGCAGTACCAAACAGTTTTCAAGAGTTATTGTACCAGTTTATATTCTCACCAACAATGTAGGAGACCTCCAGTTGCCCTACATTCTCATCAACACTCAGTATTGTCAGGGTTTTTAATTTTAGCCAAACTGATGGATGTTCAGTGATATTTCGTTGTGGTATCTCATCATGGTTTCAGTTTACATTTCTCTGATGACCAATGACATTGAGCATCTTTTTATATGTTTATTGGCCATTTTGATACCAAGTCTCTTGCTCATTTTTAATTGGGTTGTCTGATTTTTGTTTTTGTTTTTTTAATTGTACTTTAGATGAAGGTTTACAGAACAAATAGTTT